TTGCCGCGTCTGTTTGCAGTGTGGTGCCGACGTTTCGCAGGCGTTGCAGTCTGCTTCATCAGGGCTGGGAGTCTCACAGAGACTCCCAGCCTGAAAGGACCAGCGCAACGCGAGGGAGCTCAGTCTCACAGAGACTCCCAGCCCTGATGAAGCAGACTGCAACGCCTGCGAAACGTCGGCACCACACTGCAAACAGACGCGGCAACCATCCGGAAGCCATGACTATACTTTGATTTCTTTTGCTTTGTTACAATTCGGGTGGGTTATGCTTCTATATACATACATTCTCGCATATGTGCGAGAGTGAAACCCCTATTAAATCCCGCGGGCGCGTTAAACTCCAAGTCAAACCCCTAGAAAATCGCGTCGCGGTTAATTAAAGATTTGTAGGTTCATTATGTTGAAACACGGGTAGATAAAAAATGGATAAGTAGGTCTACAGATCGGAATAAAAAGAGAGAATAAACTTATTGATAAACTCATCCATAAGTTGTCGACGAAATGGACCACACACAAGATTCAACACTTCACATGTTAATGATTTATTAACTTAGTTTCACATACAATAGTATTATGCGTGAACGATCAAACATTGTATAAACAAAATTTACAAAATAAAGTATAAGTCTTTACAGCTAAAAGCTACTAGTAGTAGTGGATCACATAGCTTCATACTTTTCCTCGGGTCCGGCAAATATTGCCCTTCCCGAGACTATCCAATTTTATTTTACTTTATGTTCTCTATCTCTCATGTATGTATATATATGTATTTATATTTATATATTTATATATATTCATATTTATATATTTATATTTATATTTATATATAAATATTATGCCAAGTGTTAAATAGGGTAGCCTTTAGCTAATTCGTCCTAGCATGGAATTCGGGTGCGGGACTTGGGGGAGGAAAAATCGGGCAGGAGGAGGAGTCTCATCGTACATTGTATATTACATTCATTTAATTTAACGATCTCTCTCCCCCTCTCTCACACACACACACACACACACACACAACACACACACACACACACACAATGCACACACGCACGCGGACACGCACGCACAAGCGATTCATTCATTCATCTCTGTCTCTCTCTCTCGTAAATATAAAATTATCATCTCTTATTGTGTAATACCACTGATAATTGATATAATACGTATATAGCTATGGTATCTGCAATAATATTTATATTATACATCGAAAGTGCATTCGGTCGTGTTTCTCGTAAATCTGTAATGCGATTCACGATAAGTCGTTTGTCCCTACCAACGAAAAAACTGTCCCATCTCATTTTCTCCTTTTTGGTGCCGCTTGCAATCGCATTCGTTCGCTAAGAGGATTTCCCCGCCCGCTCCTTCGCTCTCATCACGATTCTCTCGCGCATGCACATTCTTCCGTATCATATACACTTTTTGCGCGCACATGCACACTGTACATTCCGTTACAGGAGACAAAGAATGGCCCGCACGCTCGCATTCCCTCGTTATATCTCTCTCAAAACACAACAAGCGAACGAAACCGCTCCATAAATACTCTACTTTTGATAAATAATAATAGAGCAATAAATATCTGCCGAAAATCTCATGAATCTCACTCACGCTCCAATAACTCTCGGTATATATAATTCTCCAAAAGATTCGCCGCGCGCGCGCCCAAATAGCCCACCGTCCGACCAAACTGTCAACCGTACTCCTTACGCCACATCGTAGCTCCTCGTTATTCTAACAAAATCATCTCGTCCAGTCGACGCGACGCACGCCACGGGTTTCCCGACGGTGTAGGCCTTTCGTTAAACTTACGGTGTCGAGCCGACTGAGCCATCGAGGAAGAAGTGCGCCCGTGAAAGATCTATTAGCTCTGATCCGAAGTGAAATTTCTTCGCGACACGAAGGAATTAGAGTGGCGAAAATAAGAGAACAGCGCGTTAAAGACAGGACACAGTTGCGTAGAACATCGTAGTCTAACAACTACTTCTCCCGTTTTACTTTCATATTGTATAAAAACGTGTGTGGCGTGTATTAAACTCTACTTACGTCATGTAACGACCCGTAAAGAATGTTCTTATAAAATAGCCCTATAAGTATCTCTTCTCACTTTCCGTTATGACGCGTCAAATAATTAGAAGCCACAATTTTCGCTGTTGATGGAGATGCATTGTTACACACACACACGCCCGGCGTCGTTCGCTCGACGGCTCGCGTACCTAATTGATACCGTCCGCCGACATTCGCGTCCAGCATTAAACAATCGTGCCCGTCACTTATCGCACGGCGTGATTATCGATAAGGCGTGTATATATATGTATATCTATTTACAATATCATGGAAAATATACAAAGGACAATCGGCACTACAGTATATATTTCTCGATTCTTTTTAAGACGTTTGATTCTTGCGTATATGTCACTGAGGTAAGTTTTCACTGGTTTTTAAACTACGGTCACTCTCGCGTTGCGCGCCCGAGAGAGCGAGGAGAAAATGCTCTCGGCAAACTGGTTCACGTCGATCCCAGAGGAGAAACAACTAGCGAAGACCCACGCGCCGAATTGCGAGGGCCGTTTTTGCAAAAGTCAACGTCCGCGACGCTACAAACTCTCGGGTGGCGCGTCGTGCCACCTTACTTCCGCGAGCGTGCACTTGTTGGAAGAAACGATTGTAGGAAACTCTCACGATAATCGAAACGCGCGCGTATCGCAGACGTGTGTACGTGTTGCTGAGAAATTGAATACTGTTGCGAGGAGTAACGCGAAATATTGGAATTTCTTGTAATTGTCGAGTTTTCCAAAAGCGGCCCTCGACCACCCAAGCACGAGTTATACGAGACGAAGGAAATCTGATTAATTTAGAAGTGTCTTAACTTTAAACGGTCCCGTAATGTATGTATGCGAATGTGTGCGTACGTGTACGTGTAAGGATGCGTGTACAAGCCAGCCGTTCGCCGTATTCTTAAGTTCTTCCCATTACTTTTTTTCTCTTTATTTGCGCACAGTACGCTTCGCCGAAAACGTGCAGGTTTCAAAGAATTGTCATTCGCGGCCGGTGATATGTCTTTCGCCATTCATCAAATGAGACGTTGCGTCGCAACGCGTTTGGTCATGATGAAATGCTACGAACCGTGTCGCGGGAAGCGATTCTCCTCTGTCGAAGATTTTTTTTTTGTGAAACTTAGCGAGTAATATGTGATATCGCGAACTTTTGATTTACTTTGATATAATTGTCCTTAAGTAGAGAAACGCGCACTGGGGGAGAAAACTGCTCGCAAAATCTCCACGAGCTTTTACATCGTCTACGATATTTGCGATGATGAAAGTGGCCTAAGTCACGATCACGTGGAAAAATTCAACTAATTATGCTCCTCGTTTGTTTGTTTGTTTTTTTATAACGTCGCGTAGAACGTACCTTAAATCACAGAAAAGATATAGCAAAGGTAAATATTCTATATTTAAGCTTCGTAAATATGTTGAAAAATATTTTCTCATAGTCCTCTCCCACAAATTTTATATATGCGTCACAAAGTAAAAGATATGACTCAGGCAACTTCCTGCTTCACGAAAAGACAGAGAACGTACGGCTTAGACAAGATTTCGCTTGCAGAAAAACCCGTCTTCGCGAATGGTCTGTGGTTTCCCGCAAATGTACGGTGACATTAAGCAGTTGTCTTTTGATATAAGAGTAGCTCCGTTTTAATCTCAGAAGCAAACGTTCCCTTACAGACTCGTCTCTGCGAACGATAATTTATTCGTACATAAACTAGTTGCTTTACGTTGGCCTTCCTTACAACTGAGTTATATTCGTTATTATGACGGTGTTATCATCGTACTTGACATATTTACAGCCATAATATAACACTAAAAAATCTGTACGCGGACCCGTATAGTTAAGTATTACGCAGCCGGTGCATTCATAGCGAAATTTTTTCCCAAAGAAATCCAGATCGGTGGCGGAAAACGTAAATCGAGAATCGCGCGATCTTTTTTGATACTTGCATCTTCTTTATTGTCTATCGTATGTTTCCGAACGCGCCCAAGTTATCTCGACGATGTGTATTCGAGATGTTTAACGCACCTTCGAATTCACTGTTTGTCACAAACGATCGTTCTTCTTCTTCAAATTGCGATTAAATTCAGCGTACTTGCATCTTAGAGAAATATAGCCGCCAAATCAATGCGACATCGAGTCGCAATTAAAATATATAATTATGAGCCTTCTTACAGGCAAAACATAAACGAATGTAGATTCAGTTTCCTGGATTTTCTCTCCTCTCAAGGAATTCTATATCGATAGTATATATTTTAATCCTTATCCCAAAATTTCCTTTCGTTTGAATTCTCACTTAATCAATATGATTTTTCAGAACGATCTAGGAATCGAAATTTGTCGCGTGTTCTGAAAAATTCTGGATTAATTTAAGACATGTTTTTTTTTTAAAGAACAATCGCTTGCATCGTTACTTGTTAAAAACACCGGATGCCGAACCTTGCAGCAATTTCCGATCGCTTCACTACTGTATATTAAATCGCGTATTATTCAGTCGCAGCGTGTTCCAGGTTTACATATCGTTCGAAGAACGTCGTTTAAGAAAATGATCGCGCGGATCAATTTGCGTCCCGTGGACGCGTGTAAGTTTAAAATGGTTCAACGAGCCTGTAGCATGACATCGTCACAGTAAAACAATGATCCATACACTGTGTATAGCCTTCTAAAAAAATGCATTATTCTCTACGGATAGTGTAATGAAGGTTCGTTCGCAAAAATATCTTTTTAAAACTATACACGTTTGTTTACGATCGCCCGAATACGTGGGGCGAGTACATGTTTTCAGGAAACATCCATGCCTCCCAATTGCACGTGTAAATTGTAAAAACCGCGCGCAGCAACCGGGAGATCACATCCAATGTACATTATCGTAGAAAGTTCGCGTTACAAACGCCGTCCTTTGAGTTATCTCATTAAAGGAATCGTCCGTCGAGTGAAATAATCGTACGACAAATCATTCGCCTGATAAATGTAATCCCTGCCTCTGTCAATTCAGAAACGCCTGTGAATCGTCTTTCTACCTACTTTCTGTAGATACATACGCGTGTGTTAGGATAAATTATCTAACAATGCATGCCGTAGGCCTATTTTTGGTGAATCGGCCGTAGTGTTTCCTGTACGTCGCTATTGATTATTTGCAATTTTACACGTCTGTTAAAAACGGATGTACTTTTTTGGTCACAAACAGAATACGCTAAAGATGTTGCAGCAGATGCTACGGTGGCTTAGGCTTGATATCGACAAATTTACAAAAAGGAAAAACGCTTGCCAGTATCGCAATATATAGCTCTATGTTCGACGCCACGTGGCTTCTGCATCCAAGAAATCGAAAATTCTCTTTTCGATTTAATAAAATCATAGACGAGCCTTTTGATTATTCTCAGAGACGCCCCGTTACCAGAGCGTCCCAAAGCGTATTGATTAAGCTACGAGAAAGAATTTTAACATGTTGGGGGGAGATAAAATTGTACATTTTGCTCGAAGATTAAATCCTCGGGACGAAGGAATCTTGATTATTCGGATGCAGCAGATCACAGCGATCACCGAGATGTAGCGGGTCCGTGCTTAAGGCGATTCGTATCATATTAACATAGCATCGTAGCATCACATATTTCTGCACCAATAGATTCGACCTCATCTGTCGCGCTAGATTCGTTACATGTAATAGAATCCACGTCACAGCTGCATTAAATTGTGCCCGCGCTGCAATCGCTACGGTCGCGATTGTGATTAATAGCAGTCGATTGAAGCAAACGGAAATGCATCGGTAAATTTGTGGGACGTGTCACACTCGTGTAGATTTGTTATTGATAATTTATTAAACTGAAAGAGCTGACTAATTACATTTCTGCGCGAAGATGATCGACACTCCGCGATTTACGACGGGCGAGAGTGGCCGATCGCGGGTGTTCGCTAAACAACCGTGATCGACACGGATCACCGGCATTGTTTCTGTTCGGCTTTGGCATGGTCCACAGTGGCCACGACCCTCTTCGACGATCTCTTGGCCTCCGATCTGCCGGCGCCATTGATACCCTTCGAGCTGGTTGCCGGCAGCGACGTCACCTTGGGCGACTTTTTGATATCTTTCTGGCCGCTGGAGGCTTCCGTCATCCTGTCCAGTTCCGCCATCGCCTCTTGTATTGCGTTTTCCAATTGCATATTCAATTTACGACTTCTAGAAAAATAGGGGAGGAACGAGAAAATCGTACAGTTAGTACAGCTGATTACCAGCGACCGCGCGTGCGATTCGATCCCGATCAGAGCAAGAAAAATCTAGAAGCTGAACAAACCGCGACTAATAGATTCTGTCAAGCATCAATGAATCAATTATCAGACGATAAATAGCTACACAATAACTGACGTATAAGATACTTTCTTGGCGGAAGAACCGCGTAAATCAATTGCATGTAGAAAAGATGTACGTACTTTTCTTCTTGAGAAAAATTTTATGGATTAAATACGTATGTTTGTCGCTTATCTACACGATATATCGTTGCGTGTTATAAAACCAGAGCTACATATTTAATACAAATATAGAGAAAGGGGAATGAGAAGAAAGATGGCTGAGATTGGAGTAAAACCACTTAACATAGTAATGTCCAGCACATAAAAGTATCAATATTTTTTGACAAGTTAACAGGAAGAATATTGAACCGCAGCTACGCAATAAGCTATTCGGGGTTTAATTGGCTGTTGGCTTGCTAATAAATGCTATACGATTACGTTCGTTAATAAAAACTCTCGTATGAAGACAGAGGCGCCATTAGTCAATAAATTACTGAAAAGTTTTCTCAAATACGTTCGGAGGCCTTTTACTTCCACCGCGCAATGCGATAAAGAAGTAGATATTTTCCATTGTAAATTCAATTTACTTCGTATAGCACTTATTTATCTTTATTTATTCTTCTCTCAAAAGTATATAATCGTATTTAATTAAATATATACGAAAATTTAATATAACAATCACGTGCATCTTACGCAGCCCCAGGAAAGCGACATTGTGCAACTCCACTTTGTAACATTTATTTAACGCTAAACAAAAGAATAAATTAACGTGCCTGTGTCACAGTTCTAGGATCGAATGCCGGACGTGGAAAAGAGATGAAATAATATAGTAGAAAAGACATGTACTCAAGCATCTCCCGTCCTATTTTCCCCTCGATATATTTTTGCGTTAACGCGGTATCTATTAAGGCAACGAGACGTCTCTAAGAGGCTCTCATCTTTCGATAGTTCATCCCTGTCGGGGTGGCTGACTCACTTCCTAAACTTTTTACGGGCGCGGTGATGCGCCTCGAGGCCTTCGGAGAGGGACTTGAGAGCCTTGACATCGACTTGGGTGCGACCGCCCCCGCCCCCGTACCACCGAACCCAAACTGTCATAGTACCCGGGGGGCCCAAAGACTCGACTTTTCCCGGCCAGGCCGGACTTCCTCTTGCTGCGCCCCACACTAGGTCACCGACCATCAGTTTCCATTGGTTTCCGTCGTCTACGTCCTTTGTCTCTGCTACTGAAGGTTCCAAAGAAGGTACGGTGTGTTTCAGACTCTTATGATCTCGGTTGATTTCCGCGAGATTGAAAAGAAGATAACATAAAGAAAGCCCACCTCCGAAAAACAAGAACACTTTTGTACAGACGTATTAGATAGGAAATAGTCGTGGAGTCGCGTAATTTTGAAAACGGTGAAGATTGCAGGACGGATTAATAATGTCAAATCTAAAGATATAATAATACAGTGATATCTCTTATTAAAAAACAAGACGCGCTTCTCTTCTCTGTCACGATTAACCTACTGGATAACGAGAACGATCTATGTCGACGAATCTGGCACGTATTATTGCGCACTTTTTAATTGTACGTGGATCGTCTTACAAAGAACGCTGTCTTGAAGCGTTCAACTTACATTAAGTCTTATAAATGCACATTATCTCTTATCAAGTTTACCATCAAAATGATCAAACGGACTTGATCGAGCGGAACTTTGGTCACTTAGAATTAATTTAACTTTACTTGGAAAACGTTAATGTAAATATACACGTGACACGAGACCGCGTAATTTCCATCTCATACATCTGTATCAGTCTCGATTAAAATGTGCAACGCATAACAGCAAAACGTTCCGGTATGCTTATGGTGCGTATCGCAGAGGGATGTTTTTGAAACTGATGGTTCAACTACTTGTCCAGTAGTATCGCAACAATGTGCTTCTTGCTCGCATGTGTGTGCTCGTTAAAAATGATTAGTAGCTTCATTCAATGATGGTAGGCGAGATCAGAGGCAGAATGAAATATCAGATGGTTCGAGCACATGCAATGATTTTGTCGAATGAAAGTTGCTCGTTCTTCATAATTCTCTTCTCTTCTCCATAATTTGTTCGCGAGATCTCTTCTTTGTGCCATTCGAACGAATAGATAGTTATAGAAATCGGATTTTCAAGTTGTAGTAAACTATAAGCTCTGTCAACGTCTATTCTTAATTCCGTTGGAGAAAAAGTAAATTATACTTGATCCATTTGAATTTTGAACACGATCCCCTTTAGTAATTAAACAGTTAGACTTTCTGCGCTGCCGCAGATACGTTGTACTCCATCTTTGTATTTCATTGTTAATACCTGACTTATCTCACATTTATAAACTATCCCAATCGCTGCAGGAATAATTCGGACAAAACCTGCATCCTCGGGAATATGCACATGCTGTACGTAAAATATGAGGGTGTATATGTACAAGGTATGCCGAAATAACACACGGTAGTGAGCCACACCCCTTCCGAAATGAACGTATGATTCAAGCCCCTCGGCCACTCGGATGGGAATGTAATTGCGAAGGTAATGATATTAACAAACCTGACAGCCAATTAGTAAACGCAAAAAAAAAGGAACCATTGAAAACATTATGTACAAATGTCAGAACAGTTATTTCTTCACTTCCGCCAAGCGATTCGTTGTAGACTCGTACATGATGAACGAAGGTCTCTTTTCCATTTAGTACTGGCGCCACTTACCTGCTCTCCTCGCCTTCTCGTTAACGTGATTAATAATGCGACGTTACAACGAATGAGTCGATATCATAGACTGATCCGAAGAACCTTTCGACTGCGCAATTCGCACAGAACAGTGCGAAAATGTCGAATGAAAAGGGAAGCTATTTTTCTCAGCCCGCTCTTGCGTCCAATTTGTGCGCAAGATCCCGAATATTACGAAAAAAAGCTATTACCAAAGCATTTGCGATGTAACAAGCGTACTTCATCATGCAATCACATTACCAAACATGCACACAAGCAATATATTAAATTAATAAGCTACTAAAGCAGGCAAAATGATGGCATACATCGTGGTTTTCGATCAAAGCAGCAAGCCAAGTTAAATAATGCCGATGATTCGGTAATTTATTAGAACGTCTCTAAATTACATATTCTACTGAAAACGAAGTTATAATTGAAGCACTCTTAACAATAACATTCATACGATAATTTAATGACAAAGAGCAACGGGAACCATCGTCTTTCTCTCGTCGATCAAGCTAGAAATCAATGAATAAATTGCCAAAACAACGATCGATGCTTCACGTTTCTCGCCATCACAATAGCAACTGATAAAAGATATCCTGCCAAAGAAACTTTTTTTACGAAACGTCTATCGAAATAAAATATATCATTAAAATATTTTACTATTTAATCTAATTAAATATTTAACTAAAATGTATAACTTGCTTCATAGTTTAATCTTTACTACTAAGCTGTACAGTAAAATTTAAAAATATTTGTCTTTTCACACTATATGGAAATAATCGCGGTATATTTTATTAAAAAATTTTGAAAGCCTTGCATATTGTTTACAAAAATCCATGCTGCTTCTTTTCTCGCTAGTGCATTATCAAAGTTTCTTCGTAGAATACTTTTGCTACTAAGCGGGCTACTCGTATACGATTAACGTCTAAGAGTACCATACAATACTGACCATCTTGGTCTTCATGCAGAGTAGAATGCATGGAATGGATGGAGTCCAGCTTTCGCTTGATTCCGCGGCCGAGGGCATGTTCCCTGCCCTCGCACCTCACCGTGCTCACCACACCTTCGGCTTGCTTCAACGTCTCTGACGTATAGATCTGTCAAATACAACTCGATCAACTCAGGCACAAGCCTACCAATCGCATGCTAATATCATTTCAATGTATCATTCAGTGCCGATGTATTGTGTTTTCTCTCTCTCTTTCACTTAAATTCCGTCTTATGGTCCACAAGAACCTTACAGTTTCTCCGAGCATAGGAGACAAGAGCGTTTTGCACAGTTCTAACTTATAAAAAGATAGAAAAAGCACGAAAAGGACAAATAAAAGAAAAGAAGATTACTCGGAGGATTCGAGAATTATAATATACCTTTTGTCTCCAATGCTTTTAATGCAGGAATCACGCGCGACAAATTTAATTCGATACATGCAAACGATAATGATACCAAAAGAGACAAACTCAAACTCTTTACGCATGCTCATGTTGCAAGGTAATTTTTCATCAGGTATATGTTTAGAATCATGTATAACTTTTATCAGAAGATATTGTTCAGTAAAAATTTATTTGTCCGTTATTATATAAAAAGGAGTAATTTCCTGATTAATCCGATCAACACACGATTAATAATACAATTACATTATTGCAATAATGGACGATTTAAATAATAACGCTGCAAATAAATCAACGTATGCGCTTTCACGCCACAGCGCGGATGTAAAAATTATTAAATACAAACTAATTACAAACTTAATATTACCAAGTATAAACCGATCACAACCTAATAATGCCACTGATATCGGTTCAAATTTAATTTACAAAATCAATTAATTTTGTAGCCCGTGCGAAAAGAAAGGTGCGACTACTCATCCGACGACGAGTCACTCTCCTCGGCGTCATCGTCATCTTGCGCATATATGAATTGATTGTAAACATATGGATTAATGTAGGTTTGCTTACTAGGTGTGTAATTAACAACAGCAATACCATTAGGGTCAGACCTATAATTATACAAATGTGGATACAAATCGGGTGGCCCGATGCCAACAAATTTTTGTGGATAGTCATTGCTCTGCGGACAATAAGAAACACCAGTACTTGGTCGTTCCAATGATTTTTCTTCGGAATTTTGCTCCATCTCGTTTTGCTCCATGATATGCTGCACGATTTGAGTACCAACGCGACTGCTATCGATGCACGACTTGTCGTTGAATTTGCCATTAATTTGCGGCAACATGGTGTAATGAGCATGATCTGGCACTAAGGCTTGCTGTCGATAAACATTCGCATTGGGGACATAGTGCTGGCCGTGATAAAGGATTGGTTGATAATGACCGTGACCTATGATTGGCAACGGATTGACCTCGATCTCCGAATAGGAAACGTCCGTCATTTCTTTACTGACGCTTAGTTGATCTTCCACGGTAGAGTGATCCATTGTGTCTGAATTAATGGAATGATTTGGTGATGATGTGTCCATATGCTCCTGTGAGTCAGCGTATGTGTTTTCTGGGTGTGTCGTATCGGCCGGCTGGTGCATGTCTATTACAGTTAGATGACGGTTGACCTGCTCTACGTGGGTACCAACCTGGATCCCAGTTGTCACTGTTGACTCTACATAGGTCTTTCCGTGCAGACTCGGTTGATTCAACGTGATCTCCTTAGTGGCGATACCCTGCATTCTCCAATCCTCCGACGCCACCTGCGTGTCGCCAGAGTCCGGTTCGCTGCTCGAAACGCAATGAACCATAGGCTGCAAATACATTGCATGATGTAGAATTAATGAATGTGACTTTTGTTATCAAAAAAGAATCTTACATTTTAAGCTGCAATACTGAAAATATAAAATTAAATGTTTTTTCTTTTTTAATAAAAGATGAGGTTGTGTTATACAACTAACTAAACTACTCTTGCTCCAAATTATTCTTTACCGTGGATGACGAGTGATGTCTAGCGGTGATCGGAGGCGCTGGCGAGGCTGCACCATGTGTAGTAGTATCCACAGCTGGACTGTTGGATCTCTGACTGTTTCCCGGACTATGGGTGGTCGTGTCGGGAGGAGATCCTTGCCGCATCATCGCCGATTGCGCAACGTTCGTTTGGTTCCCTGCGGTTTGCGTCGACACAGAATGCCTTGCCATCAACGGGCTGTGCTGTTCATTTTGTTGGGCCGTTTTCTCCATGACGGTCGTGCTACTACTGGCTAGCACGTATTGTTGCTGTTCGACATTCTGATCGGACGACGGCGAATTTACGCCGCTTTTCGGAGATGATGACGCCGCCTTACCCTGAATCATACCGGAACTCAGAATATAAGACTGATTATGGTCGAGATTTAAAGAAGGATCGACAGTTTGTCCGCCGTTAGAAGCTGCGCTTTGAAAATTTGGTATCTGATTGTTTGAGACCATAGTTGTCTGCTGCTGTACGATCGTCGTGTTCTGTTGCACAAAGGTCGTGTTCTGTTGATTCGATGCTGAAGAGACGGCAATATTCTGTGCGGTTGCGCAAGGTACCATAAGCGTTTGCCCATTCATCTGTATGAACTCCTGCTGACCTTGCATGTTTGGCGGTCTCACTTGCGAAGCGTTGAACGTCACTTGCTGATTCGGACTAACATTGGCCACTATCGGACTCAATTGATTCCCGAAGGATGTTGTACCGTTCACTAGGAACTGGCCGCTATTCGGCGAAAGAAACTGCGCTCCTGGACTGTGCTGTTGAATTATCTTTCCGCCAGTTGCCTGTGGCGCCCTTATGACCATGCCGGCTGGACCGGCGGCCAATATGCTCTGACTCGGATTGAATATGCCACCATGGCTCTGTACCGGCGTCAACACGTTCTGACCATTGACATTCTGTATCTGAAGCTGCATCCCGATGTTACCTGCGTCTTGCAATAACGTAGCCGTTCCGTCTGCAGACATTACCATGCTACCCAAACCTGGCACGATAAACTGCTGGATAGTAGGGAAATTCTGAACCATCCCGGCTGTGCCATTTAATAAGTTCACCGGTTGAAGGAGATTTATTTGTTGAGCTGGTTGAGGATTTGTGATTATTTGCTGAGTGTTAAATTGCGCGGACGCTGCGCCGGTCTGACCGTTCATCACAAGCTGCGCCGGTGCTCCGCCCTTACCAGGCACAATAGTTAGCGCCTGGAGCATGGGTCCGCCTATGCTCTGAGTCTGAAAGTTTTGCTGGGCGAAGTTTGACTGCGATTGCATCAACATACCAGCGTTTTGCTGGGACGAGGCAATGTGTAGCATCGACGCCACTGTTTGTGGATTTGCTTTTCGTTTCTTGTATGCCTTTTTCTTGGTCATCGCCGATTCCGGCGACAATAGCGCCGGCTGTCGATTCACCGTCATGCCTTGATTGGCGCCGACCGTTCTGGACACATCCTGATTTGCGTCAATGATGGACTGAGTGTTTTGTATAACATTGCCGGTAGCAACCGTCAGATGTGGTATCTGCACGTTCTGGCCTATGCTATCCATCGTCATTACACCAGGTTGAATCAACACCGGAGTCTGAATAGTATTCACCAGCACTGTAGGTTGCCCTATCACTTGTTGGGCTACGCCCACCGCAGGGATTACTTGACTGACGGCTCCGGTTACGCTGGTAACCATCGGCGATACTGACAATGGTGGCATAGAATTGGCGTTAGAGATGATTTTCGGTGGAGGAGGCGCCATCACGCCATTAATAGTCGACCCGGTACTCGCCATTATGAGTTGACCGCCACTGGACACCAATATATGACCGGGTGGTAGCGCCGATCCAGCAGGATGCTTCAGTATACCTCCTGAAGTGAGAACGTTGTGAACTTGAACATTGGCTTGCGGATGTTGTTGCTGTTGTGGCTGATGCTGCTGCTGTTGTTGCGGGTGCTGCTGTTGCATTTGCGGCTGCAATGAGTTCGTACTCGTCTGAGGTACTTGTATGCTGCTAACAACGCTCTGAACCATTTCGAGCGGTGATTTAGAGACGCTCATCGTCGAAGATTGACTAAGTGGAATAGATGAGTGAGTCGTAACTGGAGTACCCGGCACATTCGTCAATACCGTAGGTTGTGTCTGATGTTGTGGCTTGTTCGGCAAAAGACTGGATATAGCAGGATTCGGTATCGCAGACGGAGTGTTTATGGAAACAGTAGCCGTGTTTGCTCTTCCGGCTAACACAGACGTAATTGTGTTACTACTAACTGTATGACCACTTGCCATAGTTGTTATCACGGATGATGTTCCACTAAAAGTGTTTATGGGTATCCTGGAGACCGCATTGACGGTGTGTGGGTGAGGTTGATAACCATCTAGAGAACTTTGCCTTGTTATTTGCCGTTTCACTTGTGATGTTAAATTATCCGACACAGACGAGGACGTCTGTGATGGTGAAGTACTAGGTGGAATACCACTGGAACTCATCGTGCCAGAACTAGGAGTCTCCGATCTTTGTTCTTGAATGCTGCCACCAATCAAGGATTGCGACAGCTGCTGTTGCGCTTGTGGAGTTAGTGTCTGCGATGGCATTTGGCCCGAGACATGTGAATGAGGTGTTGGCGGTTGCGAATAGCTATGTGGCGTCGCCGGTTGCGACGAAATGAGACTCTGCGGGGTCGCCGGTTGCGAAATTCCAGGCGTCGAGGCTGCTGGCGTGTCCGAATTAGCCGGACTATTCGTACCGATGGGAGATCCATGACTGGTGCTCACAGTACCGCCTTGTATCGGTCTGGAATCGGCTTGCGGTTGATTATTCGTTTGATATCGCTCGCCGAACGTTGACGATGTAACAGGATCTTCGCGCTGATCCGTGTGCATCAGGTACTGTCGCTGCATCTGCTGCTTATACTGATCCTGAATGTAGGACTGCGTGTCGGCGCTGGTGACACAGCCTTGACATGGACTACTCTCGGAATCCGTGCCGCTGCTTGACGTCGGCGTCATACTACTGTGTACGACAACCGGCGAGGTTGCGTGATTTTTTACGGAAGCAAATGACGAGGTACTCGTGGGACTGGCGATAGAGGAAGGCTTTGGTTGAGGAATATAGGTGTTAGGCACATGCATGCCATGACTGGTTTGAGACGATGCTTTCGAATTATTGTTCATCATGCCTACTTGAGAACTACTGACACCAGTCTGTCTCGATATCGTGCTGTTTAGCAGCGCCGTTTGCTGAGCGAGGTACCCACTAGGATCCTCTAGGAACGAAGGACCGCTACTGTTGAACGTTGAGCCTACCTGACCGTTATTTTGTTGATTATTCTCACTGAATTCATCTACCGGACTTGGTGTCGAATGTTCCAATCCATTATTTGTTCTCGACAACTCTGCGACTCCATGCTGACGCTGCTTCTTCACTACTACTTTATTCGACTTCGCCTTTTTCCGTGCGGTCTCGTCCGTCCAATTGGAAGGCTGTGGAATGTGATGATGAAGCGGCGGTACACGGTCAAACGAATTGCAAGTGATATTCTGAACTGTGACGGACGGTTGATGGGATACAACTGCGGCGCGATTTTGTTGCCATGGCGGTGTCCTGTTGTTGAAATGCATATTGCCGGGTTGCCCGTTTGGTCCCATACCAGATTGCTGCACCTCAACAGTGTGACTGGTGTTCGGGCTTCGTCCCGTATGATTGGAGAGAAATTGTTGTTGATGTCCCATCTTGGCATCTGTATTCGTTCCCTTTGCGGGATCGAAATTTCTCGCCGGATATTGTACCTGATTTTGAGCGTACATCCGTTGAACATTCTCATGAGGACTACTCGGCAAACCGCCATTTTGGACCACATGGTGTCGCTGCATCGAATGATTATGTAACAAAAGTTGTTGCTGCTGTTGTTGTTGTTGTTGCTGCTGCTGTTGCTGTTGTAATTGTTTTGCATTCAGATCTTCATCAACTGATGATCGGTTATGCCTATTTTGAATGTCCATGGCGTTGATATTAGTCATGACGGCAGAACCAGTTTGTTGCTGCATAATGTCTACAGAGTGATGATTCAATTGTTGGCTCGAATATTGTGGCTGAATGCATACTTGTGACATTTGCTGCTGATGCTGTTGTTGCTGTTGTTGCTGCTGCTGTTGCAGTTGCTGCTGAATCTGCATTTGGAAGTGATCTGTCGATTGAGGCTGCATAGCGTGCTGATTCTGTTGTGACTGTTGCATTTGATGCTGATGAAGCTGATGCAACTGCGGATGGAGGGCGGTTTGATTCGGCACTTGCGACGTTTGCATGTGATGCACGTAATTCTCAACAGAATGCTGATTATTATAATTTGCCGATTGTTGTTGATCCACTTCCTGTACTAAATGCTGCTGCTGTTGTTGCATATTGTGTTTTTGAATTTGCTGCAAATGCATTTGCTGCTGCTGTTGTTGCTGCTGCTGTTGCTGCTGATTCAAATGTTGCTGCTGCTGCTGCTGTTGCATTACATGTAACGACTGCTGATTTAGTTGATTGATATAATGAGGAGTCTGCTGTTGCGCTAATTGATTTACTACGGTGTTTTGATGTTGTTCCTGTTGTTGTTGCTGCTGTAAAATTTGCATGTGTTGTAACTGCTGCTGGTGCGGCAACAACTGCTGCGATTGTTGCTGCTGCTGAATGAGCTGCTGGTGCTGCTGTTGTTGCTGCTGTAGAATAAGCTGCTGGTGTTGCTGTTGTAAAAGCTGCTGCTGCTGCTGAGTCATATTATTGAAATTTGTACCCTGCTGATTCATAATCAACGGGTTGCCCATCAGCATGCCCGACATATTATGTTGATTTACCCTCTGTTGAGGATTTCTCGCACAACTGCTAACGTCATGATTCTGGGAAGGCGAACTTAAAGACTGATGACAGATTTGTTGTCCATTCTGCTGAACTTGCAGATTCGGGATCGTAATCGGCCATACCTAAAAATCAAATAATTTTATCTCAATAATTGAATAAGTAAATAATTAATAATATATCAATAATTAATAAATAATTCATAGATTAATAATATATTAATAAAAATATACAACGCATTGGTTTACTAGATATTTTAGAATAACTCATATTACAATTAATTAATTCTTTATTAAGAAGCAAGCAAAAGAAAAGTTTTTCTAATATATTACATAATAATAGAACTGTGTGGTGTTCAACATTGTATAAAAACACTTGGTAAAAAGCATAATTCTTGACTCAAGAAGGAGATCGGTAATTTGCGATTCAATTAAAGCTACGACTCAATTACCTGCGATCCATTAGGCACCGGTGAACCTTGAACTCCAGATGCCGCAACCGCGGCAATAGCTCTCTCCCGTTGTGCCAGAAGTTGTGAAACCGAGACGCCGGAATAAATGCCGCCTATGCCTCCTAGTTTCCTCTTCTTCTTCTTGCTGAGACCATCTGCGCACACCAATAAAGTATCTCTTAATAAACCGGAATCCAATTACCTTCGATTTGCCGGCATCTATTTGAAATTGAATCGACAAAGGCTTTTCCCGTCCGGAGCGCAATTGTGGAAGACGATAAGTCCTCGGCGCTGTAGAAATTAAAATACGACTTATTCGCCCTAATCTCGCGCCGCTGGCTTTCTCGCTTATTATTCAGACGACGTTCCAAGCTTCTTAATGAAGCAAGTGTTCCATTTGAAATCCTGCCGCAAGGTTAAATTGTATTTAGCCCGACATTTCCGTGCTTTAACTCCCAGTGCTTTTTGAAACTTCGACCTTTCCCTCGGTCTAATTATCATTCCGGAAAATATCTTTCGCGAAGTGAAAATATTGTCCGTAATAGATCAAGAAGCGTTACAGAATACCAATTCAGTCAATAATCTGCTAAATAACTGAAACAATATTATAGCATACGAGCAATATTGACCGTTACATTTTTCACGTAATAAAAAAATCTGTTAATTATTACAGTGAGCCATTATTCCTGCTGCAACAGGTACAGCATATCGAATAATTCAAATTATATAAATAAACTTGTTATAATATATTACTATTTAATATAGCACTAAGCGGGCAAAATTCGTCGTAATTAAGGTTTCGTATTGTATAATCAATACACATACAAAATCTATTTTATTATCTGTGCATAGTTCGGAAATTGCTCAGAAATTACTTTAAAAGTACAGCAAATTAACAAAAGCAAAATTTGTAATAACAGAAAACAGTATCGTTAGCGTATTAATAATCCAAGTGTAATATAAATCGCGTATCTCTGTCTCGCAAAGTTCTGGAAACGACATTAAACTTTTATAAGAGATATTAAAATTGCCATTCGATGAATGATAAATTGCGCGATAACAAAGTTAAATACAGAACGAAGATCGTATAATATTAGCGTTAATCTACATTGATAAATATTGTACGCTAATAAAATAAACCGCATAAACGCAGAATGCCGGGGAAAAAGTGTATGTAATTTCCGAGAGGTTTGTAAAACGAAACTAGATATTTATAACGCTTCTGAAACGCCATCGTCTGCATATTCACGAAGAATTACCGCAGGGGCCATCGACACTTCCGAATTACCGTGATTTACGAGACGTGTTAGAAAGCAGGAGGGCTAAGGTATTCAACGGGGCGATAGGCTAAGGGGATCTTTTATCTGTAAGCCTACAGAGGATAATTATTCTCCGTGCCCGCCGATTGATGCGGGAAAGAGGGAGCCGGATAATTCTCGACGAAGAGGGAGAGGCATGAAAACGATGAGAGGCGAAAGCAAAAGAGAAGGATGGGGGGGGGGTAGTAATGAATCTACGATGGCAGCGAGGCAACTTGTCCGTCCTGACGACGGTAGTTTAACCCGATTTCCAAGAGGGAGAACGGTAGATTTGCGTAAAATCTTCGGATCCATTTTGTGGCTTCCGGGGGTTTTCGCGCGAACGCGTAAAGTCTCCCCGTCTACTTGGAATGCCTGCAGTCAATGGCTCGAGCAATAAACGTTCTCGTCGTTAAACCCCGGTGAAAGAGGGCGACGTAGTAATTGGAAGATGTAGTTCGTCGTTTGCGGCTGTTTCCAAACGCCACCTTACTCACTTAAGCACGTTGGGACATTCGTTGCTGACTTCGCTCGTAACAAACGATCAATTTTACGGGACTCAAACGTATCTCGACTCAATTTATACGGAATCTGTTTGTCTTTCTTTTCCGCTCATTGTCCCAATCACAAATACATTTCTCTATTGGAACTATGGATTTTTAAGATACATTAAGTTCTACGTGATACATTTTATTACCACTCACAAGGATTTAAATTTTATAGATTTAATCGCAGCATTTGTATGATATTTCAAGCAAATGTACGATGCCCGTTTACAGAGAGGGGATTCTAAATTCTCGAGATTCTCACGTAATATATACCGCTCGAATGAAACGCACCTGCGAAGGTGACATTCGTACGATCGCGGGATAGATCCACTCCCTATCGGTCCCACTGGCGCAGCATCATCGAGAACGAGCGCCGATGGCATCGTCAGCGTTGTAACTGCGTCTGCAACGGCAGACGGTCGCGGGTCTACGTTCCCGAGCTCTGGCTCTACCCTCGCGGAATGACTCCCTTCTCAGCGCAAAGCATAAAAATCCGCCGGGATCACGCCGTTACGTTACGCCGGGGCGTTGATGCGGACTGAGCGGAAAGGGGTCGGAATGCGCTTGCGCGACCAACCGACGGAAGTGGGTGCAAGGGTGGCCCGAGGGAGAAACGGAGAGAAGAATAAGGACCCTCCGCCGAGGCAACGGACGTCACTCCCGGGGCAGGCGCAAGAATCACAATCGGACGCAGTTGGACCGCAAGGCTACCACCTCCCCCTTCTGTCTGCGCGCGACCATAGCTCGCTCTCCTCTCGTACGAAATTAACCCTTATCAACTCCGTGTCTACCACCCCCTCCCCCGCAGCCCCACACCGAGGCTATGGCCTGGCTTCTTTCACTCTTCCTCCTCTTGTATCCACCGCCACCCTCCACCATCAGCCGCACCCGGTCGCGGTAACATTCTCGTTCTCGTCCTCGTCGTCGTCGTCGTCGTCGTCGTCGTCGTCGTCGTCATTGTCGTCGCAGGCAGCGAAGGGAGAACGGATTCTTTCCTCTTCCCGGGACTTTATTGATCGTCGCCGCGAGATAAGAAGGTACGACCGGCCGATTGGTCGGAGATGGCCGCGTCGGATCGGCCACGACGAACACAGCCGACAGGAGATACCCTGAGATTTAGTCTCTCTTAAACGCAATCGGACTGATTCCTATTAATTCAACTATTAGCACAGTCACGACGAGTAGTAAATAACCGAATGTACTATTAATTCCTTTAGCCTGATAAAACTCGTACGAGGTCCCTCTCCGTCTTCAATCCCCCGGTTGGCTTATACACTGTGTCTTGTACATATCTCATTAGCAGAGATTTGCCTTTTCATCTTGCGTGGGCTGGGCTGTGTTTACCCCGTTTCTCACCCCTGTACCTACTTCCTTAACGGAAGATTATTTCTCTCGCAGGAACATCCTATGTAAACAGAAGTCTTCAGAAAAGAATACGGATTCGATAGACCCGACAGGCGGGGGGGGGGGGGCAGTGCTAAGCTGTTTACACGACACCGATAACCCTCAGTGGGCAACGAGAACAAACAGACCGCGAAATCCGCCGAAGGAATGTTTAAAGTTTCCCACTTGCGACAAAATCCGGGGGTGGCTGTCGCACGCGGAAGGGCGAAACTCGAGTTCGTCGCCCGTAAAATCGCTTCTCTGTGCTCTCGAGATGCCGTCGTAACCGCCGCGCGCTACGCCGAGGACAAAAGTGATCGATCGAGCTCCGGGGGAAAATTGTTCAGGGCGATAAAAGATCGCGCGCGAACCGCGCTCTAGATTTCAACGGGTTGCCATCACGATCAATTGAACAATTGCATGACGCGCGATGATTCTCGTTAAACGCGCCTATTGACATTACTCAATCGGGTAACGAAGTTGGACTTGATTATCCTAATTAAGCGTTGAACAACCGGACTACGTTCCACCTCGCGCAGCGAAAATATTTCGCTTCACCGTTAGCTAAACGTATAGAGAGTTTACGGACTAATAAAAAGCATTTTAAATCGCCGCGAACGATTCTCTAATCGACTCCATTAAAAACTTTATTTAGTGTTTATACAAATAATTGCGCGCATGAAAGTCGGGTGGTACTTTGTATTATTACACGAAAAAGCTATCAAGGCAATTAGCGTATCGCCGAACTTTTACGTCGGCAAATTGCCTCGAACAATCGCGACTCCCACCCTGCTCCCGTGACCGATAAAACTGTAACAGACGTTCAATCATCCCTGCTCCCAGCGCGGTACATAATCCGTCGTACGTAAGCGAAGACCCGCCCTCTTAAGCCGGCAAAGTCAAACTGAAAATCAGAAAAAGGGGGAATTAAATCGGCTCCCAGCGGGGAGCGGGAGCGCGTTATGAAAACCCGGGAGCTCGACGTCCGACGATAAAGATTCATTCGAGCCTCTCCACTTATTCCCTTTGCCGTTCCTCACCCTAGCCGTGGGACGTGCGTGTATGCGTGTGTTTGCGCAGCGCGCGAACCCGAATGCGAGCAACCCCCGACGAGGCAAAGAGAGAGAGAGAGAGAGAGTCGGCGGAGGGAAAAAACCAGCCCCATCCAGAGCGTGTCGTTTTATATCACCGGAGAATTGGAATCGAGGCGGCGCGAGCGGGCGCGCGCGCCGATGTTAAAACGACCCTATAAAGTCCCATAAAAACACCGCCACCGACGTATACGTATTATCCTACCTCGCGCACCGCGGCCGTAAACTCGAGTTAAACTTCAGCCCCAGATTTCCAGACGCGAGCGCCGAAGTTACCGGCCGCGCGCCCCGCGTGTAACGGAATGCCTAATCGCGCTAATTTATTTGCGAACGAATGCTGCGAATCGATTCGTTTTTATTTGCGAGAACGTTACGTTCATCAAGCGAGCCCTCTGAAAAGGAAAGAGAATGCGATATCACGGACGCGGTATTAATCACGAACGCAAATGAAAGTCTCTAACGTCGGTCGCCGACTTTGTGATGCGCCAATTAATACTTTTCCGCGTCATCCTTACGCGCTGAATGCATATAATTTTCCCGTTGTATTCGAGTAATTCGACACCGGGGCGTTTCCAGCCCCGCTGCGAATAATATTAAAACGCGCGGCTACGACGCGCGCAGGGTGAAAGTTTAATAACCGCCTGGTCGCCGACGCGGCCGCGCGCTCGGCTTTCAATCTACAAGCGGATTATAATTTCTAGCCGACGCAATTTGGAGTACAGGTAGAGGTAGAGGTACGCCGGGAACGCGTCCGTCGCGTCCTGCAACAGCCGCTTAATTAACGGCGCGGAAAGTAAGGGAAAAAGGAAGGGGGATAGGGGCTGGGAGATGGGGTAGGGAGGACGGGGTGGGAAAAGAAGCGACGGCGGGATGGGATACGTCGGTTATGGGATTTGGTAATGAAATTCGGTGGAGAGTTTGGCGGCTACGGTGATACATCATTCCGCCCTGCCTGCGCCCCGTCTTCGCCCGCCGTCGCAGCTCTCTCGAGCTTTAATGCTGGCGCGGAGGGCGGGGGACGATTCCGAGACGAGGAGGTGGAGAAGAGAGCGAAGAAAGAGCGCAGGGAGGAGGGGAAGGAGCGAGCGAGCCGACTTCGCTAATGCCGCAATTTCGTCGTCCTTCTTCCGCCGTCGACTTTTTTCCTTAATGATCACGGCTCACTTGACGGGGTGGAAAAACTTTTGGTCTTCCTCCAATAAAAGTTGGCACGTGTTCCCGCCGCGACGGTGAATAAACGTTCCCGGCGATTATGGCGCCGGTTCGACGTCCGACTTGACAGAAAACTTTGTTAATACGCCGGATCGATGGAGAAAGTTCCGCGCCACGTGCGCGTATGGGTGTGTGTGTACGCGCGCGCGAGAGAGAGAGTTTGCGTGCACGATAGAAATTCGACCTGTCCGAAGTCGCCGGGATTATGAAAACGGGTATGTCGGGGATGGAGGAATCTTCATTTTCAACGAGCGCGGGATCGTTCGATTGCCTGGCGCGCGAATTCAAAAATGGTGCGCGAGAAATATAATTAAAAATATGATCAAATTTCAATTTTGCATCCGCCATTTCGCGCGCGCTATTTTTTATATTCTATAAGAATTTTGAACTGGAATTTAGATTCCATGGGTCCTAATAACATCTAAATAATGTTTCTTAGCATAATTGAACTACAGTTGACTGATGTTAATTCTTTTAAGTTTTGAATTCCGCCATTTTGAATTATGAAAAATCTGATAACGGATTCGTAATCAGCGAGCCCAAAAACCCTTGTATACAAAGTTTCACAGAAAATGGTTCAATAGCAAAATGTATGTTTCAAAGGGTTAAGGCCGAATCGGACTAGCAATTGCCGACTCGGATTGGATTCGGATTGGGCGACTGACGATTGTCCTCCAGCCAATGAGAGTCGATTAAATCGTTAGCTGCTTTGCTCTCATTGGCTAGAAGACAATCGCCAATTTCCAATCCGAGTCGACAATTGCTAGTCTGATTCGGCCTTTAGACGCGCAACCGCGATAGTGTTTGTTTTACTGGAGAGAGACCGTCGGTTAAGTTGTTGTTCGTGCGATCGAAGGAGGTGGTGGACTCGCTGTAGTACAACTAATAAATACGTTTAGCGAAGCCGAAGCAGTTTGCATAATAATTTTATACAGTCCAATACATTCAAAGGGAAATACATTGCGCCGGTGTCCAAGAACACTCCGAGGAATACACAGATCTCCATACCATACGCTACAAAACGACGGCTTTCGTCTTGTGCTTCTAATACATACAGATATTGTCTCCTTCCCCATCACCGCGATTCCCCGGTAGCGATTTCTTACGTTCGATCCGGACCACAATCCGATCGTTCTGGTAGCATTCGCGTCCTTACCTTTTCTGGTTTTATCCGGCGACGTGGGCGAGTCGGCGTTCGCGTGAATCGAGGCCGTTGTCGGGCCAGAAGATAAAGTCGACGACGAGACCGCCGGCGTACAGGACGCAACAGGACTGGCGGCCGCGGCCGCGGCCGGCAGCAGAAGTTTCCTCTTATGGTTGCAGAGCTTGGTCATCTCCCGCGTCTTGCCCTGATCCGGGCTCCAAGGTCGCGTCGCAACCTGAAACAAGAACGCGACGCTCGTTATTCACCTGATCGTATCGCAGCCGATGTGACGGGGCTAACGAGCTAACTCCGAGTCATTTCGAACGTCTCTTTAGAATCTCTTTAGAATATTCTCTCGAGGATTACGGAAATCGGCCCGGGTCTCGGTGGACCGTCGGAATTATCGTCGAGGACTCCGCCGAGAATTCTTCCGTCGCCCGGTTATCTCACCGACGTCCCGAGTCCGACCCGACCGACGCGTGGAATGTGGCATTTATGATTCACAGCTTAGCGTTTCACTACGCAACGTAGCCTGCATAAAATGAAGATGATTTCCCTCTGCCTGCGTCCGATTTCGTCGAGGGATCGCCATAATTGGCGAATATCGACGCGCGCGATGCGAGAGCGAGGCGAGCGTGCGAAGCGGGAGAAAGAAAGGGAGGCTAGGAGAGTCGGTGGCCTCAGACCGGCGATGCTCATGAATCTCATGATCGATGCGCGACGCGCTACGAGCGGAGTTAAAACGCGTCCGAGTTGGAAGGCCGCAGGCCGATGCCCGTAATGGCATCGTGCGCGAGCTTCGCCGTGTTACTTGTCAGCTCGGGAGACGTTCCGCAGCAATTTACGGCCGCAAACACGATGCCATTACCAGCGTGTTGTAAATAGGATGATACCGCTTGATATACAAGTATTCGTAAAGCGCAGCGCGCGAAATGTTAATCGCCGTGGCGTTTTTCCGACGTCGCAATCATCGTCGATCGCAATGGTGTCGTCTCGATCGGTTATAGCTAATGAGAGCAAAAAGCCGATACGTCACGTGACGTTCGGCTCGCTACGAATTCGAATTAAAAGACTCAATCAGATTGAATCTAATCGATTTGCAGAATCAATTGAAAGACCCGCGAATGTAAAATATTTCAGACTCCGTAATATTCGACGCCGCGCCCGAAACGAGTAGTCGCGGGTGCGGAAAGGAGACCGCGCGCGAATTCCGCGACGCATCCCGAGATATGGTGCCCGGCGGGTTAATTAAGAACGACCCAAATACGGCGCCGGGATTACGCGCGCTCGGCGACGGCGGTCGGCCTTGCATCATCGGGAATCCGACGAGTCGCCGCGCCGATGTAATGACGTACGCACACCGACGGTTAACTCAATCAGAACGTGTTTTCTCCGACTCCGGCCTATTATTCATTCCCCCTTCTGGCGAAGAGCTCATCAGCGCGATGATCACTTTACCGGCTAATCACGCCCACTCGCCGGCCGCGATACCGTCGAGAGAAACCGGGAGGCCTCCGGTGTCGTGACGCGACCCATCTCGGAAATATTGCGGATCAAAGATACCGTCGAGCGACAGACGAAGCGGGGAACGAAGAATCGTAATTTACAAATCGATCGCGGCTACCGCCGGATCGACGGGCGTCTTTTATCGAGGACGCGGGCAGCGGTAATGGTGGCGTTCCGAGAAGGTGGATCTCTCGAGATCGAGAAAAATTACGGGTTGTAAGCGAGATACGGAAAGTCATCGAGTAACGATACGGCGCGAGTGTACAGCACGGTTCGGGTAATAATTGGGGATGGAGGAAGAAAAAAAACTTTATTATTTAAACGTACTCTCTAAATTTTGTGGAGTGAAATCTCGCTCTTTTGGAACGAGATTTCACTCGAAGAAATAATGAAAATACTGCCAGTCCGACTGGAGTGCAATTTCACCTCTTGAAAGAGTGCCGTTATTCGCTCTTTACTTGGATCGATTCTTCGACTCTGAAAAGAGTACTATGTTTTACTTAAATCTATTATTGCTAGCAGTATAAGATTCGTGGACGAGAGCTTCGCTATTGTTCGTTCACTATGATCATCGCATATTAGAGGCTGTATTCTAGCACAGCCAGTACTGAAAGTCTATACTTTATGTGACAGTTTCGCTTATTCTGCTGATTGAAAAACCGTCCCGGCCCGTGACGGAGTTCTTTATATGCCGGGTTCCTCATACAGGGTGTTATGTAAGATCTTTTTCACCTCTTTACGGATAGAGCGGACTAGGCCGGGTCGAAAAATTCTCTACCGTTTTGCAACTTTCGCAATAGTTAACGAGTTATTAATTATTAAAAATGTCTTAGCTGTCTTAGCCCGGCCTACCGCCCAATTTCAAACGCGCGGCGAGATGCGGCCGTCCCACGATTGGCGTTGCTAGGCGCGCGGGGGAGTTGTTTATAGGTTTGTTTACTGTTCCTGCACCGGTGAACTAGTGCAATAAATTAGAGTTAGACAAGTATATATTTTCTCATTCTAGCTTACTGCACTAGTTCGCCAGTGCAGGAACAGAAAACAAATCTTATGACACACGGCAACGGCTACGTGTATTAAACAACTCTCCGCGCGCCTAGCAATGCCAATCGCGGGACGGCCGCATCTCGCCGCGCGCTTTAATTGGGCGGTAGGCCGGGCTAAGACAGCGATTTTTAATCACAAATAACTCTTTAACTATTGCGAAAATTGCAAAATGATAGAGGACTTTTCGACGCAGTCTGGTCCGCTCTATTCGTAAATAAGAGGTGAGGCGGGTATTACATAACGCCCTGTATATCGCGATCTCACTTACGAGTTCGGCGGCCATCTAGTGGCGGAATACCGTACTTTAAGTTGGAGTGAATTTTGGAGTGCTTGCGACTTCACTTTTTGTGTTAGAGTGAATTAATTCACTCTATTGGAGTAAATATTCACTCGAATAGAGTGAAGTGGTCAATGACACAACGATTCGAGTGTAAATTTAGCTCGAAAAATTTTAGAGACGCTTTTTGACAATACGACCCGTGGCGAATTAATGCACCGCACTGTACACGCTGGAAAATTAAGTTTCCTTTCCGTTCCGCATTCTTTGCAAAACGAAACCGCCGCGGACACATACGTATCGCGCGCTCAATCCTCTTCTCTCTTTTTTTTTATTCACGCCCGCAACAGTGCCGTTGCCTCCGAGCGTGCTGTTGCGTTACGTCGTACGATTGTATATACGTGCGCGAGGCATGTACGCAAGGTGTTTGCATCACTACCTAAATAATCCTCGTCACCGAGAGAGCGCATACACGCTCCGCCGCCGCTTTCCACGGCATTATTTCCCGTCACACGCCGCCCGTTGCACGCGAGGTAATCACGGCCGGCGACTGGCGGCGGAAACCGCGATTTAATCCTTTTTCTCGGACGCAAAATGAGACGCCGTACTGCGACAGAAACGACTTTAATACGATAGCTTTTACCCGTTCCCTTGTGTCCGGATGAGCGTAGCCGAGAGTCCGCCTCTCTTTCTCTCTCCCTCTTGATTAGACGATCTCGAAAGGGAAAATAAACCGCGCTGCGCCGGCTGTAATTACCACGCCAAACGAGCCAGCTAGTGCACAGCAGTGTTCTCTACCGGTTTTACATAAAATTATTTTATATAATAGGTTACTGTACCGCGTATAATCGGACGGAGACTATTACATCGGGAGAAAATGAAATTAATACCGCAAACTCTCTCAAGTGTCCAGAAACCGATACGTCCGCGATAAAAAACTTTTTCGCCTGGCTAGCACGCGGAAAATTAAGTACCACGAGTTATTACGAAATACAGTACTCTTGTTTCTCACACACTCGCGTATAAATACGTATGCGCGTGCGTGCATGTGCATACATACATACATACAGCAATCATTCTAATTACAGGAACGTCTCCGGACAAATTTAATGGTAATAGAAAAGAGAAACTAGTTAGAAGCGCAAATAAACCTGTCGTACGATCCAGTCGAAGGCATAATATTTAAATCTCCGTGTATACCAAACCGAGACGTTCGTAAATAACCGCGCGTTAATTACCCGCGTAAAACCAGCCGGGAGGGACACAATCCGTGGTGCTCGTGCTCTAACATCGTAAATCGATACACATCCCCGTGGCCAATGCTCGTAAGCGCGTAAAGCCCCGCGGAACTCGCCGGGGGTTGTTGCGTTCCTCGATCGCGAGTGCGCGACGATCCCCGCGAGTCTTGTTTCGAGAGAGGTAAATCATCGAGTGCCAGCACACGTCCGTCGACTCTGCGAATCTCGGGGCCCCAATCAACTCCGCGTGCGGGGCCCCTATTCCTCTCTCTCTCTCTTTCTTTCTCTCTCTCTCTCTCTCTCTCTCTTGGCTCGACTCTGTTCGGCTCAGATCAGCTCAGCTCGGTTCGGCTCGGCTCAGCTCGATGCAACGCGACGTGCTGACCTCGAGGTCGTTAAATTAAATTTATGTCGGCCCCTCGCTCCCCCCCCTTTCCCTTACGCGAAACGTTCTTGCATACTTATGTACCGGTACGCGTTTATCGTTACTGTGCGACATTACACTGAATTAACGTAACAAGGCTATTAGTCGGCGATTTTACGACTTTAATTGTGAGCAACGGCGGGACCAACCGCGCTCAGTCGCCGAGCCTCACAAATTGGCTCTCGAGACAATCGCGCGGGGGCACGTCGTACGTAGCTGTCAACCGCGGATAATTAAACTCGCATATGTACGGCACGCAACGTAAATAGACGATTGTTCGCGGGTAACGTTTCCCAGGGAATGTCGGCCGGCCGCGGCGAGTCGCGGGCCGAGGTACGCGCCTCTCTTTCGGGTAACAAGTGGCGGCCCATTCGTCACGAAAGGCGGGCGGCACGGTGCAATGTTTTCGCTAAACGCCGAACTAGATATTGTATAATTGAATGAAACGGCGAACGCGCCGTTACGTAAAGTCGCGCCGTTTAAACCGAGGCCGAATCAATTATCGGAATCTCTCACAATTGTTGAGTTATTACGAATTTCCTGCGACGAGCGCGGTGTATAAAATAAAAGCGCGCCGCGTAATTTGATTACACATGCGCTTTAAGCGCGCAGCTATCGTTTGTGCTTATCGCAACGAATTTGTAATAAATTGTAACGATATTAGTCAAGCTCGCAACTGTTGTGTTACGCGGCGCAATCGATTTAACAATAATTTTAAGATAATTGATTTTAAACCCACTTTC